TGGTGACCACCAGCTGGGTCCCACGAGAGTGTTGACCACCAACTGGGCCCAACAGGAGTGTTGACCACCAGCTGGGCCCCCACGGAAGTGTTGACCACCAGCTGGGCCCCCACGGGAGTGTTGACCACCAGCTGGGCCCCACGGGAGTGTTAACCACCAGCTGGGCCCCACGGGTGTTGACCACCAGCTGGGCCCCACGGGAGTGTTGACCACCAGCTGGGCCCCACGGGAGTGTTGACCACCAGCTGGGCCCCACGGGAGTGTTGGCCACCAGCTGGGCCCCACGGAAGTGTTGACCACCAGCTGGGCCCCCACGGGAGTGTTGACCACCAGCTGGGCCCCACGGGAAGTGTTAACCACCAGCTGGGCCCCTACGGGAGTGTTGGCCACCAGCTGGGCCCCACGGGAGTGTTGACCACCAGCTGGGCCCCACGGAAGTGTTGACCACCAGCTGGGCCCCACGGGAGTGTTATCCACCAGCTGGGCCCCACGGGAGTGTTGACCACCAGCTGGGCCCCACGGGAGTGTTAACCACCAGCTGGGCCCCCACGGAACCACCAGCTGGGCCCCCACGGTGTTGACCACCAGCTGGGCCCCCACGGAAGTGTTGACCACCAGCTGGGCCCCACGGAAGTGTTGACCACCAGCTGGGCCCCACGGGAGTGTTGACCACCAGCTGGGCCCCCACGGGAGTGTTGACCACCAGCTGGGCCCCACGGAGAGTGTTGACCACCAGCTGGGCCCCACGGAAGTGTTGACCACCAGCTGGGCCCCCACGGAAGTGTTAACCACCAGCTGGGCCCCACGGGAGTGTTGACCACCAGCTGGGCCCCACGGGAGTGTTGACCACCAGCTGGGCCCCACAGGAGTGTTGACCACCAGCTGGGCCCCACGGGAGTGTTGACCACCAGCTGGGCCCCACGGAAGTGTTGACCACCAGCTGGGCCCCACGGAAGTGTTGACCACCAGCTGGGCCCCACGGAGAGTGTTGACCACCAGCTGGGCCCCACGGAGAGTGTTGACCACCAGCTGGGCCCCACGGAAGTGTTGACCACCAGCTGGGCCCCACGGAAGTGTTGACCACCAGCTGGGCCCCCACGGAAGTGTTGACCACCAGCTGGGCCCCACGGGAGTGTTGACCACCAGCTGGGCCCCCACGGAAGTGTTGACCACCAGCTGGGCCCCCACGGAAGTGTTGACCACCAGCTGGGCCCCACAAGAGTGTTGACCACCAGCTGGGCCCCACGGAAAGTGTTGACCACCAGCTGGGCCCCCACTGGAGTGTTGACCACCAGCTGGGCCCCACGGAAAGTGTTGACCACCAGCTGGGCTCCCTCGGGAATGTTAACCACCACCTGGGCCCCACGGGAGTGTTGACCACCACCTGGGCCCCACAGGAGTGTTGACCACCAGCTGGGCCCCACGGGAGTGTTGACCACCAGCTGGGCCCCACGAAAAGTGTTGACCACCAGCTGGGCCCCACGGCAGTGTTGACCACCAGCTGGGCCCCACGAAAAGTGTTAACCACCAGCTGGGCCCCACGAGAGTGTTGACCACCAGCTGGGCCCCACGGGAGTGTTAACCACCAGCTGGGCCCCACGGGAGTGTTAACCACCAGCTGGGCCCCACGGGAGTGTTGACCACCAGCTGGGCCCCACGGAAAGTGTTGACCACCAGCTGGGCCCCCACTGGAGTGTTGACCACCAGCTGGGCCCCACGGGAGTGTTGACCACCAGCTGGGCCCCACGGGAGTGTTGACCACCAGCTGGGCCCCACGGGAGTGTTGACCACCAGCTGGGCCCCACGGGAGTGTTAACCACCAGCTGGGCCCCACGGAAAGTGTTGACCACCAGCTGGGCCCCCACTGGAGTGTTGACCACCAGCTGGGCCCCACGGAAGTGTTAACCACCTGCTGGGCCCCTACGGGAGTGTTAACCACCAGCTGGGCCCCCACTGGAGTGTTGACCACCAGCTGGGCCCCACGGAAGTGTTAACCACCTGCTGGGCCCCTACGGGAGTGTTAACCACCAGCTGGGCCCCCACTGGAGTGTTGACCACCAGCTGGGCCCCACGGGAGTGTTAACCACCTGCTGGGCCCCTACGGGAGTGTTAACCACCAGCTGGGCCCTCACGGAAGTGTTAACCATCAGTTGGGCCCCAAGGGAGTGTTGACCACCAGCTGGGCCCCCACGGTAGTGTTAACCACCAGCTGGGCCCCCACGGAAGTGTTAACCATCAGCTGAGCCCCACGGGAGTGTTGACCACCAGCTGGGCCCCACGGGAGTGTTGACCACCAGCTGGGCCCCCACTGGAGTGTTAACCACCAGCTGGGCCCCCACTGGAGTGTTAACCACCAGCTGGGCCCCACGGAAAGTGTTGACCACCAGCTGGGCCCCCACTGGAGTGTTGACCACCAGCTGGGCCCCACGGAAAGTGTTGACCACCAGCTGGGCCCCACGGGAATGTTGACCACCAGCTGGGCCCCACGGGAGTGTTGACCACCACCTGGGCCCCACAGGAGTGTTGACCACCAGCTGGGCCCCACGGGAGTGTTGACCACCAGCTGGGCCCCACGAGTGTTAGTGGGCCCCACGAGAGTTGACCACCAGCTGGGCCCCACGAGAGTGTTAACCACCAGCTGGGCCCCACGGGAGTGTTGACCACCAGCTGGGCCCCACGGGAGTGTTAACCACCAGCTGGGCCCCCACGGAAGTGTTAACCATCAGCTGAGCCCCACGGGAGTGTTGACCACCAGCTGGGCCCCACGGGAGTGTTGACCACCAGCTGGGCCCCCACTGGAGTGTTAACCACCAGCTGGGCCCCACTGGAGTGTTGACTACCAGCTGGGCCCCACGGAAGTGTTGACCACCAGCTGGGCTGGGCCACCACCTGGGCCCCACGGGAGTGTTGACCACCACCTGGGCCCCACAGGAGTGTTGACCACCAGCTGGGCCCCACGGGAGTGTTGACCACCAGCTGGGCCCCACGGAAAGTGTGTTGACCACCAGCTGGGCCCCACGGGAGTGTTGACCACCAGCTGGGCCCCACGGGAGTGTTGACCACCAGCTGGGCCCCACGGGAGTGTTGACCACCAGCTGGGCCCCACGGGAGTGTTGAACCACCAGCTGGGCCCCACGGGAGTGTTAACCACCAGCTGGGCCCTACGGAAAGTGTTGACCACCAGCTGGGCCCCCACTGGAGTGTTGACCACCAGCTGGGCCTCACGGGAGTGTTAACCACCAGCTGGGCCCCACGGGAGTGTTGACCACCAGCTGGGCCCCACGGGAGTGTTGGCCACCAGCTGGGCCCCACGGGAGTGTTGACCACCAGCTGGGCCCCACGGGAGTGTTGACCACCAGCTGGGCCCCACGGGAGTGTTGACCACCAGCTGGGCCCCACGGGAGTGTTGACCACCAGCTGGGCCCCACGGGAGTGTTAACCACCAGCTGGGCCCCACGGAAAGTGTTGACCACCAGCTGGGCCCCACTGGAGTGTTGACCACCAGCTGGGCCCCACGGGAGTGTTAACCACCTGCTGGGCCCCTACGGGAGTGTTAACCACCAGCTGGGCCCCCACTGGAGTGTTGACCACCAGCTGGGCCCCACGGAAGTGTTAACCACCTGCTGGGCCCCTACGGGAGTGTTAACCACCAGCTGGGCCCCCACTGGAGTGTTGACCACCAGCTGGGCCCCACGGGAGTGTTAACCACCTGCTGGGCCCCTACGGGAGTGTTAACCACCAGCTGGGCCCTCACGGAAGTGTTAACCATCAGTTGGGCCCCAAGGAAGTGTTGACCACCAGCTGGGCCCCCACGGTAGTGTTAACCACCAGCTGGGCCCCCCCGGAAGTGTTAACCATCAGCTGAGCCCCACGGGAGTGTTGACCACCAGCTGGGCCCCACGGGAGTGTTGACCACCAGCTGGGCCCCCACTGGAGTGTTAACCACCAGCTGGGCCCCCACTGGAGTGTTAACCACCAGCTGGGCCCCACGGGAGTGTTGACCACCAGCTGGGCCCCACAGGAGTGTTGACCACCAGCTGGGCCCCACGGGAGTGTTATCCACCACTTGGGCCCCACGGGAGTGTTGACCACCCCCTGGCCCCCACAGGAGTGTTGACCACGCCCTGGGCCCCACAGGAGTGTTGACCACGCCCTGGGCCCCACAGGAGTGTTGACCACGCCCTGGGCCCCACAGGAGTGTTGACCACCTAACTCTTGTAAACATTCTTAAATACAAATATATTCCGAGCTCATGGACCACTAAATTTAAACAAATAATAAATAAATTATCCTAAATGGTACCGGCTAATAAGCCTACAAGTATTTTATTTGTACAAATTCACTAGCAGCTCCAGTCTCTCCTCTAATTATCAGTTAATGAACGCCGTAAGTTGTTACAAGGACAGAGCTAACATAAGAATTCTATACTTTAGTATAGAAGCAACACGTATTCCCATGACGTTCTAGCAGGCACTTAAGTCAAGCCATTGTGTCAGCGCAGAGGCCGTAGCTATTCTGGGTTTCCAACCCTATATGTGATTCAGGGCTGCCAATCCTACATATGATTCAGGACCGCCAACCCTACATGTAATTCACCCAAAACAATCATATACATATAACTGGCCATTCAAGCCACTTATTAATAAATAAATAATAATAAATATGTTTATTCAGGTAAGGTACATACTTACATACAAGTGATGTTACATTAATGGATTGATATATAGATAGAGCTAGTACATACAATGCCTAAAGCCACTATTACGCAATGCGTTTCGGGCAAGAAAAACTATTAATAACTATTATTAACTAATACATCAATTAAGATACACAGTGAAACACAATAATTGTTGACAATGACTTTCTATACTAAACAAAAATAGAAACAAGCAATGGTAAAGGGAGTATATATATATACAAATCTTCAATGGACAAGAAAATTAAGATTAAATAGCTTTATCAGATGATAACATTTGATACAAGCATCATAAAAAGATATGTACATGTTGACACTACAAAATGACAAACCAACATAATGAGCAATGTACATGACAGCCTTAAAATAACAGTTCACAAGCTGTACAAGCTATAAAATAACAGGACAAGCTAGTTGAACATAAAGCTGAGAGTGGCAGAGAAGCGGTACGAGAATGACATTGTATGCGAGGCTATGTCCGAGCTAAACCTGTTTTTGCTCATAATTTACACAACGTTTCGAACCTACAAGGTTCATTCTCAATTGAAGAGTGACGAAGCATAAGGAAACATCTGCTTTATAACACATGAGCGAGACATATGTGTCGGCGCGGTCCGTGATTTTACCACCAGTATCCCTGGATATTTAAGGTGCAGAGACCTAAACATAGTTTTGAACCCAGGCAGTGTACAGCAACGCTTGATCAGCAATTCCTAGTGAGTTATTATTGCGTTAGATAAGATAAATAAAAAGATCGATGCCTTGTGGCAACATCAGTGCCACCAGTGGGGGAAATCACCCCACCTGCCCCCGAACCCCTGGTAACGACTTCATAATGGTCCATGATGGACCGAAACATCGTTGTTTCTTAATTTTCTGATGTACGTAAACTATTGGTAAAACCTTGTTGTGGCACCAGGTGGGCCTCCAGACTCCCAGTGGACTTGGTAGAGATCTGATTGAATAGCTTGTCATATCATGGCCGAGTGGGCTAAGGCTAGCGTCTGGGAGTCGCTAGGATACTGGTTCAAATACCTGCATTGCTCCAAATGATTTTCTTAGTACTAAACATTATGTATATTCAGCCCATCTCCCCTAAGGTTTCAAAAAGTCAAGAAAACGGTTAACTTAAAGTGTTCTCTCCTAACCTAACAGACCAAAGGTAACAAAATAGAAAACGGGACAGTATGTCACTTTCGCGAGCCACTTCCATTTTCTAGTACAACAATTTTAGGCCTTAGTAACCCATACGAGCGAAAAGGGACGTTCTTTTTAAGAGGACAGGTTGGTATATTATGCTATATACATTACAACATGATACAGTGGTTAATTAATAAGTGCACAAGCTATATACTGTATTAAACACTAAAGGTGTGAAGCTTAACCCAGAATTAAATGTATAGGAATTTTCATGTATCTGTAATATAACTCATGGTCACCACACGAGAAACAAATATATCTTTGATATTCCTAGAGTGAGACTCAACTAAAGCAGAAATGCTAAGCATATCAAGGGTCCCAAAATGTGGAATGACCTCTTAAACGTTGTTAATTAAATGACACAAAAATATTTACTTAATATCATGTAATTATTATCATATAATCAATTCATTTAACTAATTTCACTGACATTTTTCCTCATAATAAGTTATTTGTGATAATCTTATCTTAAATTATTTTATTAATAATTATTTCCTTTTCTTCATTGTCATCTATTTTTTTAATTTCATTTATAAAGTGTTTACTCGTGTCCTTAATTATCGTTGTTTAGTTTGTGGACTTTTCTGGACTTGCTTAAATTTAGATTTTGAGTGAGAAGTAAATGTTGCCTTTCAATGTTCGATGTGTTTAAGTACATATTAATGAGAAATATTGTTAAAATGTACTAATAATATATATAATAAAAAAATAAATGTTCATATTTATTTATTTTTTTTAATTAAAAAATTATATAATAAAAAATAAAAAAATAATAAAAAAAATGTAATTAACATTTCTCAACTAATAGAATATGAAGCACAAGAATAATCCTCTGTGTTGAACACATGGTAAGTGTTCATGTGAACTCATGAGTGGACTCATGTCTTTAATGACCCTTGTTTAGTTGTAAGTGTTTACTCATGTACTTAATGACCCTTTTTTAGTTGTAAGTGTTTCATGTCTGAAACATGAAACATCACACCCCGGCAGTCGCCCCTCAAGTCCCCTCACGACGACAACGGGCCAGAAAGGGAAGAGGAATGGACAGGGTTAGAGGTCTGTTAAACATATAGTTCAGTGGTTTATTGAACATCAACCACAGAAAGTGATTCATTGATTGAAACCGCAGAAAGAAAGCCTAGGAGTGTTCCAGAGGTGCCTTGTCATGAAGCAGTGTTCATAGGACGATTTGCTTTTGATGAATCACAGCATAACTGCCAAGAATGCAAAGTTGCTGAAGAACTTGCATAAGTGCTTCAGGAGACCTGGCTTAGCTCTCTGGGGTATTTTCTCAATACTTGTGGCAGACGAGGCTAGGATTCAACAAGCATTTATGCAACTACTTAGGAACTTTTAAATCTTTTCTCAATCTTAGGCAGCTTTCTTACATTTGCTAAACTGTTAATTAGCTCCGAAACACTAAGAGGTATATAATTAATATAATATGGTTGAATATATGATAGGCAGACATCAGAAAACGAAGAAACTACGACGTTTCGGTCCGTCCTGGACCATTATCAAGTCGTGTAATCATTTTCTGATGTGTGGTTTGGATATCAAAGATGTATAGGCTCGTAAGTGGTTGCGTAAATGCTGGTTAAATCCTGGCCGTTTTCGTGAGGCAAATTAAACACGCGTGGCAGGCCGCTTTTATGGAACAATTCTTAACACTTCCTGTGGAGAAGCTTCATGATGGTTATGGCATCATCTCTACATTTGAGAGCCGAGCTGGTACTCTCATTGGATTTCAAGATATACTTCTTCAGAAAGCCCAGAGAGTTGCGGAGGTGGCGGCCTCTTGGGTGAGGGTACATTACAGCGGTGTCTACAACAAGGTCATGAATCAGTTTCAATCGTAGAAGGTCGTGGTTTAGGGAGTGGCCCACAAGAATGGTTTTGCTCCCGAACAAAGACAACAGCTTGGATTGTACATCTTGAAGGTTCGTCGTAACACCTTGGAATTGTGTGGCAGTGAGTCCAGAGTGCTCCGTGTTGTAGTCTACGATGTTCTCAGGTTTCACAAGCGTCTCATAAACCACTTGGTAGTCAGCGTTGACCACAGAGATTGCCCCCACTTCCGTTCCCTCTGTGGTGTAGATCATCTCACAGTCCAAGGCATAAATGGATTTTTCATCACTATCACTTTGCTGAGTGTGGCAAAATCCAGTAAGATTATCAAGATCTATATCTGCTGTTACGTGCTGGGATGCTATTTTGCAGGGGGCGGCATTACTCTTTTGGTGACAACAGCGATAGAGCTTAACGGGGCCAAAATGTCTGCCAAAATGGTATCGACACACACTGGCGATCAGTGGACGTCCTTCATCATCAACACGGTACACTGTATTGCACCGAATACATTTGCGTGTGTCAGCTGTCGGGATGAGAGGGTATAGGGAAACCACATTGCTTATCCGAGCCTTACCGCTTCCCTGGGGATGAGGCCGTGGATAGCTGTATCTAGAAAGGCCCGCTTCAGACAGCTTCAGTCGTAATGCGCGGTCATATAGTGTTCTATCTTGTGCAGCCATATCTCTCTTCACTCCCTCGGATGTTCTTCACCTGAAATAAAGTTAATTACATTGATTTAATGTTTATGATAATGTAACAGTGCAAGTGTTTTGCACTCTTTCAGGTATAATTGTGAGTTGTAATTGTGGGTGTGTATGTGTGTGTTGCGTGTTAGTCGAGAGTGTGGTGGTAGTGGGTGAGGCAGAGTGAGGTGTTGACTAGCTACAATCTGCTGACATGGTAGTACTTTGGTTGGTAAGGATCAGTTTTGTCTGTCTCAGTCCTTATTTGGGACATGAGGAATAGTACAACGCCCCCCCCCCCCAATTGGGGCGTGGCAAGGAGCGGATGTATTTGCCTTGTCTGGCAGTTTAGAGAGAGAGTCAGAGGGAAGCTCTTTTATAAGGCAGCTCTCTCATCAGCCAGCCTCTCCTGCAATCTTCACCCTAGGCGGGTGCCAGTCACTCACTAGGGTGCATCCATCTGAGTTGTGAGGTAAGAGCGTCAGTATTGCTTGTTTTGACCAGGAGTGTCTTAATGGTGACGAGTGTAGTCTAAACCAAGAAGCCAATGTATGGTTGAGGATGGGTGGATTGGTGGATTTCTTGGGTTGATTAATTCAATGTTAAATAGTAACTTGACTATTAAAGACTAGAGATCAATCAAATAATTCAATCAAATAAAGATGGTAAAGTGAGGGTCGTGAGGGAGGAGGGAGAGAGTGCGTGAACGTGTGGCCAGAGTCAGTGTGGCGCGTGCCAGCACCTCTCCAGCCTGTAGATTATTTAAGAATTTATTCAGTAACTAACTGTACCCGCCACGCATTGCTGTGGCTCAGTCTGGTTAAATGGAAAGGAAAGAAAAGAGAAAGCGCACGTTTCAAATATGTTTAATTTCACAATGCTTGTGGGTATACAATATGTTTTGTTGTTCCATTGTCTGTGGAGATATAGAGATTGTCTGGTTTGCTGACTCTAGAACACGCAACATATAATTGTCCTTATGAGAAGCATTCCGTGTCTAGATCTAAACTGCACAATTCAAAAGATTGGCCCTGAGCTTTGTTGATGGTGATTTCAAATGCCAATCGAATTGGAAATTACAATATCTTAAATTTAAATAGCATATCTGTTGGAATCATAGGAATGCAAGGAATGAGGACATCTTCACCTTTGAAAGGTCCTGTCAAGATTGTGGCTTCTACGACGTTGCTGATTAATTTTTTTACTGCAAGGAACATGGTGTTGCAAAGCTTAAGCTGATTGATATTTCGCAACATGATAATTGGCACGCATATTTTCAATTGCCACACGTGTGATGATCCCTGGCAGATCGAGTGAATTAAAAAATTCTGTTGGATAACTAACCACTTCATCTGCTTTCTCAACAGTGTCGACGGACTTTTATCGAGGAATTACAGGTAATGTTTGCCTGAAATCTCCTGCAAGCAATATTAATGCGTTCTCAAATGGTCTGATGTTTCCACGCAAATCTTGCAATGATCTATCAGGAGCCTCAAGCGATTTTTTTGTGGGCCATTGTGCATTCATCCCAAATGATAAGTTTACATTTCTGCAATACATTTCCCATGCCGGATGCTTTGGAAATGTTGCACCTGGGAGTTTCAACGAATCAATGGCAACTTCAATGCCGAAGTAGCAGTTCTTCCACCTGGTAACAATGTCGCAGCTATTCTGGAAGATGCAAGAGCTAAGGTTATGCCATTTTGGGATCGAAATGCTGCCAGAATCAATCTAATTAGGAAGGATTTACAGTTCCTCCTGGCGCATCTAAGAAGATTTCTCTAAACCTGCTATTGACAGTTTGAATTATTTGACTGTAAATGCCTTTTCGCTCAAGCGTTAGCTTAGGAATATTTGATTGCACATATGACAACAGATTACTCATGTTGTAATTTTGTTCACGACACAATTCTACATCAAATGAAGCAGCAGTAGATCGATTCAGTGATGGCATTTCCAATTGATTTAGAACTTTGTTCACGAATTCTAAGCACAAATCTTCATTCATTACCAATGCTTTGTTTGTAGATTTCTGCTGTGAAATCCATGTTCATATTTGATTTTTCCTTCATATTCGACGGATAATATCTTCAGCCATGTGTGATTTATATTTCTCCCATAACTCTGTTAGAGATGAAGGAGAGCAGGCGGTCAATATGATTGCAAACAGTGCATAAATTTGATTTGGATGTGACGTGATGGACGCATCATTAATGCATACATCCCAGTGTCGGTCGTTCTCCAATAAATTCCGAACTTGACATGCACTACGGAAAGTGGTATGTGTTACGCCGTTGACAAATCTCAGTGGCCAGAAAGACGTTGGACCGGGCACATTTACCAACAGCATGTGAAGAAAGAAGCATTCATCTTGACTGGGATGCACGGTGTACAGTCTGCCTATCGTAATTTATTTGAGTATGCCAAGTTGTCCGTCGACTTGGTCTCCTCGCTTGCGTCATTCAAATGATTTTCTACTGGCAATCAATGTGTAATACATATGCACTTCTGAATACAGCAGTGTTTTCGCAAACGCGTCATTTTGACATAAAGTGAAGAAAGCAGTTAACATTGTAGCCGGTGAATTCATAGCTGTTTGTTGTACATTTGCAGCTGTGAAATAAACGTGTTGTTCATTTTCTTGTTTTCAAAACCAAACCAAAAAAACTAACGAAATATTTCAATGCAAACGGAGATCAATCGACACAGCTCAATTTCACCACCAATTGCACTAAAAATAAAAAGAACAGTTAAAAAAACTAAATGAAAAAATGAAAAAAAAAAATAAGTTATACCCACGATGTAACGGGAGCCCAAACCTTTAACCTCACTACTGATTAAAAGCTGGTCGTTATTGAAAAAAGTTAAAGAAAATATATACAGAAACCGGAGTTCTGCAGAGTAACCTACAGTACAATCACTCGAGATCCAAACGTTTGACCATTCTGATATCACGAACTCAAGAGATATTGTCTCCTCCAGATTAAACTGCAACTCTGAATATTTGCCGCCACCACCTGCTAAGCCTGAGTAAATCTCTCAATTGATGGAAAGCAGGATACCATCAATTAAGCGTCCCGTGAAATTCTATCCCCAATGAAATGAAAAGGAGGGCTAAGCTTTACGTTAATGTAGAGAGTAGAGCAAAGGGATTATCTTTATTAATTAAGTAAATATTTATTGGTTTGCATGAGAAGACTAGGTGTGGACATTTGTCTTGCATTCAAAAATAATGTGAAAATAAAACAGAAAGGAGAATACCACTAAACCAAAATAAATTCTATAATTATTTATTAAATCAAAATTTGGCATCCAATTAATATTTAACAAATTCCCTGACTATAGCCCTATTTAATGGAGGCACTGAAAATCCTATAGCAATAGCAAAGTGGATTCCTACCATATACCAAACTCAAGAAAACAGATACCTTAATACCACGGCCTGGCCTGATGTTCGCCGGCTTTGGGAGGGGTCTTGTCTCCACTGGAAGTTCAGATTACACTGAATAATCCTCGTTCTACCAATTGTTGTTACAGATTCAGCTACTCGGAACAAGTTCCAAGTAGCACGGGCTATGGTGAGCCCGTAACTTACCTCGCACAGGAGCGGGGCAAGTAGCACAGGTTATGGTGAGCCCGTAGTGGACCTACCTGGCACAAGAACGGTGCATGTAACACTAAACATGTTGTTGTTGTTTCAGATTTAGCTACTCAGGACGAAGTGTCCATGTAGCACGGGCTATGGTGAGCCCGTAGTTGAGTTTGGTTATACATGATAACCTTGTTTCTGTGATATTTGGGTCTAAGTTTAAAATGGAGGAAGGGGATTTCTCCTTTTTCCCTGCTTATTTATCGCTTCTGTTTTAGTGCACTGGTTTTAATCTTATTAACATTATCTTGGTGGCGGATGTAGATGCAGAATGTTCACTAATGAGTCCCATTCCTCAACGGCTTTTCTAATCATTGTAGTCGCGGTGGAATGTGCGTCTAATGGAGCTGCTGTCGTTGGATCAATGTTGAGTTTGATGCGCAGGGCTTCAGTAGCTTCACATTCCAGTAAGTAGTGCAATAGTGGCGCCTCTGCTTCTGTTTCACAGATGAGACACTCTTTAACTATTGGGTTCATTACCTCCCAGCAGCACTTGTAACCAAGTCTGAGTCTGTGTATGGCTACTGTAATGTGTGGATATCTTTTTGCCAGGCTTGAAAGAGGAGTAACCAGTGGCTTGTTCGTACTATATCGCAGTGGATCTTCTTACCGCTACTTTGGCTCTGTGGCGACTTTTGATAGTTGAGAATATTTTCTTCTTGATTTGCTCCTTTATCTGTGAGAAACTTGGAGGTATTTGAACCTGTACAACAGGTAGAGCAGTGGCAGTTTTTGCTAGTGAGTCTGCCTATTCATTACTATCTATGCCAAACACTAAACATGTTGTTGTTATAGATTCAGCTACTCGGAATAAGTTCCAAGTAGCACGGGCTATGGTGAGCCCGTAACTTACCTGGCACAGGAGCGGTGCTGACACTAAACAGTTTATCCGTCTTACTTATATTCGCATTTGAGTGAGGTGATATGGTGCAACAGTTCTGGATGAGGTGAAATACAAGACAGAACACGAAACTATGGGTATTAGTTGGATACGAGAGCATAAGAATAGAAGTAACTGCAGAGGGCCTATTGGTCCATACTTCCCTCTTGATGCTTCTATATTGGTTCGGAGTCTTGAAGTGGGTAGAATATAGTTGTGCATTAATTGGCTGTTGATTGCTGGTGTTTGACATATATATATATATATATATATATATATATATATATATATATATATATATATATATATATATATATATATATATATATATATATATATATATATATATATATATATATATATATATATATATATATATATATATATATATATATATATATATATATATATATATATATATATATATATATATATATATATATATATATATATATATATATATATATATGTCAAACACCAGCAATCAACAGCCAATTAA